GGTCATATATGCTAATATATGCTAATAAGCTACTTACGTACTAAATTTTAAGAAAATCGGACTATAATAAGATTTTTTCGAATAGACCGGTCCCTGGTCCACCTACCCGAAAAAAGTAAAATTTCTTTAGCCTAAAACATGGTGGTTACCGAAAGCTATTTGTATACAAAATTTCATGAAAATCGGACCAGCCGTTCGCGAGATTACCTGTTACAAAAAAAAAGGGGCTTCTCTTTATATAATTAGTATAGATATTGATTGTTAACAATAATGCCGCTTTTTTCAATTATTTTTAAAATTCAGTGATTTTAAATTTTGCTCCGACAGCGTAAACCCGTCGTAGAGTATCTGTACGAATCTTCGTCACGAACGGATTCAATGAAGGCTCTCTACGAATTTTGTTTTCCGTTCGTAGCCATTCGGATTTTGTGATAGCACTTTCGTAGATTTCACGAAAATCGAAGCTACGATGAATTCTGTGATAGCCCAGGTAATACATATTTACTAACAGAAGACTTGAATTACTAGCAGCGGGTTAAGTTAGTGATAGGATAGTTGATTGCGGAGAGTTAAATTACTCCACAGTATCACGTTACTTGCCAAATTGTATGCGTCCAGAAAATAATGATGACTTGCTTTTTGATTTGAATAATAAATTATGTATTTACTTGTTTATTTATATCTTAGCATTTTTTGTTTTTTTTTTACAAACTTTTTTTAAAGAACTTCTTCGCTTTTTACAGGCTTTCATATATGTACGTATATATGTGAGTATGTACTCATCATAAGTATTAAATTATATATAATACAAGGTAACTAAGTTTAGAAGACTATATGTATGTGCAAGTATGCACAGGTCTATGTTTTTATGTATATGTACGTGGGCTTTCTTAACAACAAATAATCACATATGCATATGTACATAAGTATGTGTATTGAAAATTAAACTCTTCCACGTTTAAACTGACTTTCTCTTATGCAGCACTCTCTAAATATTAAAGTAATTCACATATACTTATATACATACGTACATACCCTACAGGAAATGAGATTAGTTGTCAGTTTCAATAACAACTAATTACAATTTCTTGCAACAAACAGATTTATTTAACTTGGCGATGTCATAGGAAGCAGTCAATTATCCTGTTTTCAATTATTTTTCGTGTAATTTCAATTCAACAACTTAAATGAAACGAAGTTACCGAACAAAACAAACAAAATAGAATATGGAATCAAAACTTTCCCTCGCTGCATTTCTTTTAAAATAACTAAAAATTAGTTGACTACAATATTACACTTTACACATGCTGAGTTTTGAAACTCACTTCATTTTCCGTCAGGGTACATATTTACATACATATGTATGTATGTATGTATGGATTTAGGTTTGCTAGTGTACATATTTCATTCACTTAATTATTTTAATTATTGCATAAGAGTTTCTTGTTGCCAATTTTTGTATGTGCACATATGTATACACTTATAACGCGCATAAGTAGTGCATAATAATTTTATGTGTTGTAGATATATACTTTTGTAAGTACATAAGTATGTACAAGTGAGGTGTTTGTCTGGGTGTAATTAAAATATAAATTAATAACATAACACGATTAAATTAGTTTATCAGAAAAATTTGTGTTAATACACAGTCGAATAAAAATGAATTGCTTTAAGCTCGGAACACTTTGACGACAGCAAGCGACAAGCAGCATCTGTCAAATTTTAAATACACACGTTCTTACGGACACAATTATTTTGACGACAGCACGACATCTTGGCTGCAGGACTGCAATTGTCGACGTCGCCAAATTAAATCTATTTCTAATTTTGCCGGCGACAATGAGTAGATATAGTGCTGCAAAATTAAATTGTCGCAAAATTAATCACATATTCTTGATTGTTCATGTTTTTCTTATTTACTTAAATAAAAATACACAATTTGTGAAATAAATATACCAAAATGTCAAACTTTAAAATCAGCTATTTGCTATGTCGCTGAGGTCTTCAAAATGTTTAAGAAGCTGGCTTCAAGGCGACATTTGTCGACAAAATGATGTCGCTGTCGTTACGTCGTGAAGTTGCAGTCGTCAAAGTGTTCCGAGCTTTAAGCGCCAAGCGGAAGCTAAAGAAATTTAACTCAAAATTCAGCAAAATTGTGCAAACTCTTGCCGCTCGTTTTTTGAAGTGCTTTAACAAAACCATTGTAATATGCGAATTTGTAATTCAATTAACTTTTCAGCAGAACAATTCTTCAGCTACAGGTGGCATGGTTTTATTTGTGGAAAACTGAGATAAATTTAGCTTGGCTAATTTAATATTTAGGCTATATTCATACACACAGTTCATAAGCAAAACTATTTAGTATATAAAATAGCTGCTGAATACATATATCCACTCCACCTCACTTGAATACGTATTTTTTTTTCTTCAAAAAACGAGGTTTATATCCAAGCTTGGCTCGTAAAATGTAGCTATTCAAGGACAACGAAGTATATTTAATATGTACATTGATATATGTATAATAATAAAGATGTGTGTTTGATTGTGTTTATTACTCATACTGAAGAGTACATGCTCATCAGCAACCCTTTATTTTATAGAGCTTTTTGCATATTTTCGTAATTATTCATATACAAAACTATACATTTACTGTAGACATTTCTTTTCTTTTTCACATTTGGACCTTTCGCGTACTCCTTTAGTTGTATGTATTAAGCTATCCAGCCTAGATCTAATGAACCGTATTTACATTGAATTGGTGGATAATACTTTTAGCTTTACAAACTTTAAGCATTTATATATGTACGTAAGTATGTTCCTATGTAAATTTCCGTTTTGATTTGCTGATCTAAAATACCGAATTTCTTTGACTTTACATTTACAACAGTCAACATAATTAAATGTTTCAAGAATTGCTTTAAAAAGCAAAACACAATTTTGATTGCTGTTTGAACGACACGGCAGGTTAAGCTGTCGGGCTTGTTTTTTCTGCTTCCTTGCAGTTTTGAAAAACAAAAACTGTTTTCATATACATTTTGCGACCCATCAACAAAAAGTGCATACATATTTGTCGACAATCAACAGCACATTCTGCTACCTACAGCACAGCAGTCACACACTACTCATACGTCCCAGCCCACAAAACTTTTATAACACCAACAACATAAGCGGATTATGATGTTATGTGCAAATTTCACTCGAATTCGCTAGCGCAGCACTGTTGCATAAATTCGTATTCGTATTAACAATTGTTTTATTATTGCTACTGTGGGTTGTGTGCTGGTCAATATTTACCATTGTATTGTTTACAATCGCACACTTACTATCGCTGCTTATAATCGCATTTAAATTCGCATTCGTAAGCGTTTTCATATTGGCGGGTTTTGAAGTTGGCGTCGTTGTTGCTATTGCAGTAGTAGCTTGTGTCGACGCCTGTGTCGCTTGTGTCGTTATTATCGGCGCCGAGGTATTTGTTGTATGGGTTTGTGAATTTGTGTTGTCGTGCATATTCGTAGGCGCCAAAGGCCGCGCCGCTGAATTTGCATTTGTTGCTGTTGTATTTATAGTTGCTTTGGTATTGTTTTTATTATTTTTGATACGATTCAGTGCTGCTTCGCGCTCGTTCGCATCGAAATACCAAACGGTGATGGCGTAGCGGGTGCGATGTGAGGGTTGTACTTCGTGAGGATTCCGTCTGTCGGACCAGAAAAAGATCAGCCGATCGAATTTCGGCTCGATATCAGCAACTGAATTACCGTGCTCTGGGAAAATTCTGAAATAAGAGATGGTGGGAGTGTAAGGTAAGCAATCGTTTTGGGAAGTTAATTGTTTTTTGAAGTCAAATAAAATTTACAAAAATAAATAAACTATAGAAATTATTTTCGAAATGAACAAAATGTATGTTCCCCTCAGCCTATTTAGAGTTGTTAAAGCTTCGTAGCGAAACAATTGCGCGTACCATGAAATCGTGCAAGGTCTATTTAATCTGGACGTCTTTTGCCAGATTTTTATCTTCGTCGCTGCAGGAACGTACGCGGTATCGAGATCAATTGATTGCTGCCTAATGTTCGATGTTCCTCTCTTTATTTGCAATGAAGGTTGAACTTTCCTGGGTTAGACCTTTGCCCGCCTGGCATTAAAGTCGCCAAAATAAAATTGTGACAATTCCTGCACTGATGGTGGTGAACCTGTAGACAGGCAAAGCAATCAGAGCCTCCGCCCAACCACAAATACCGCACAAAATTTGTGCGCCGTCTTATGGAGGCTGTCGTAGATGACCCACGCAGCAAATTTTTCAGTCATGTCCCGTCATATTCTCAAAAACTCAAAAGACTATTCTGAAATACCGATTTTATCTTCATTCTAAGTATTTTGGTATGTCTATATTTTTCTTAATTCCGTAACCCATGTATGGCGTTTTCAAAACGGAATTCAATGAAAAGACAGAAGAGAATCGTATTATTCTTTAACACTTCTACTTTACGGGCAAAAACATGAAGTTTACAAGTTATCCGCCGTACAGTTCCGACTTGGCATCCAGTGACTTCCTTTTGTTTCCGCACTTCAAAAAAAAAAGATTTCGTGGTCAAAGTCTTTTAAAGCCTGAAGAAGCTGATTCCGTGAATTCCTAATAGGAGTAAAAAAAATGCTACGACGAATGATTTTAGTGGTTGTATGAAACCATTCGAAATCATTGCTAAGTGTAAAAAAAAACACAAAAATATGGCTTAGGCCTCGTGGGCTATCTGGCTAACCTTCGCTATGGAGAACATACTCATCGGTTGTCTTTCATCTACATATAATAACTTGCATAAAATTTCAAAACATACCTCAAAACGCCACCACTGCGTTCCGTATCCCAATTGACATTCAAGTAGTAAATAGCCGTTATCACACGACCATCTTTATTTGGATTATCGACATGCACCACATAATGCGAGCCGGATCCCGGGTAGCAAGCCACCATAGCCTGCAAGAATGAAAAACAAACCCTATTATTAGGCTATTTAAAAAGGGCAAATGCAATTTTTTTGCATGCCAGTGCGCAAGTGCAGATATTTTAGCATATCTATATCGATTTTACACATTCGCCTGACAATCGAACGCACCTTTGTTCTCTCTTTAATATTATAGTTTCCCAATTGACCATTGTTTTTCATTGTATTCGCCCTACAAATGACCGCGTCAATCTGCAAAAAAGCAAACAAAAATAAATAAAATTAATAAACGCTTGTAATGAATAAAATTGACTTACGAATGTATGATGTATTAATATGCCTTACCTGATTTATCAAATATCCAACATTTGCACAGCCTGGCTCAACGCCCTTAACCCACGTTATCTTATCGCCACGTATCGTGCGCAGCTCTTCCTCGCGCAAATTATTCACCAACTGTCCGTCCTAAAAAGTGGCGAAAAAATGAAATAAGGAGTTAATTTTTTTCAAGTTTTACATTTTATTTTCATACATTGCTTACTTTGAAAACGCCAGCTGAATACATGCGATGAACTTCGTTCAATATTTGCAGACCTTTCTCGACGCCCAGAAAATCATCGACCACCGACAAGCCATACTGATTCATGTCGTTGATGATATTTCGACATAATTCGTCGTAGCGGCGCTCGCTAAAAAGGAAAAAAGAAAAACGATTATAAATTAAGAAAATATGAAGCTATTTGCTTGCCAAGTTATCTTTAGTAATGCCGGAATGTTAATGCTCACATCCTCTAGGATTGTTCTATATCGAAAAATTATGTATTTTACATGGGAAAACAAAATTTTTTGTAGAAATATAATGGAATCCTTAAAAATCAATATTTCTTCAATCGGCAAACTCTGTTTCTTTTCAAAAGTCTTCAAAAGATAATATCTTATTCTTTATTTAACCATGTTTTGATAAAATCTGTTTTTATACTTCCCCATTGCATTTTGAGGTGTTTTAGGAGGCCCATAAATATAAAAATATTAAAAAATGGTTAAAATACAATTCAGTGTTATTCTCTGGAGTCTCCTGAAGAGAAACATAGTTTGCCGATTGATAAATATAGATATTATATACGATTTCTACGAAAAATCGTGTTTTCCCATATAAAATACATGGCAAACTTTGTGCGCTTTGATCGACGTCTACACAACATAACAATCCTAGGGGGTGACAACATTAAAACCCCGCCTTTACCTTGTTTGAACTACCCTAACGTCTGTACATTCAATGAATAAAGAAAAACCTCAAAAATGCCAAGTTCATTTCGCATAACTCATTTTCCCATTAATTAGCTGTCAGCATGGCTTGCCTACTCATTTCAGATGCATCATGGTCATTAACTTTTACTAAACTCAAGCTTACGAGTTTTCGTTAACGATGTGTGAGAAATTCGCAACGAGTTGTCAAGTAGGTGGTACGTGAACACCAAAACCAAAACCCAAAAAACGCACAGCCCGTGAATTCGGTCTGGATATGTATTTCACATTCGCGAATGTACGAATGCGAATGTACGAATGCGAATGTCAGGAATAACATAAAAAAAGCTAAAATCAACTTAAGTCATCGTTTTTATTACTTAAAAGTTGTGTAAACTATTAGAACATTGAACGAATTCTTAGCATATGCAGTGTTTTAATCTAGTAGTCAAAGTTCAAAAGGGCCATATTATATATTCTTCAAGCCGGAAGCTAAAAGCCGGTTATTGTCCGCATCCTGGTTAGACAGACTTAGAGCCATTTCAAAAATATTAGAGTGGGCACTCTGTCCATTTACACATTCGCAAAACATTCGTATCCTTTGATGTAAATGCGAACGTCGAATGCGAATGTGTAAAGTGATGCGAATCATTCGCATAACGAATGCGAATGCAAATATTCGAATGATTCCTGGTATGTATACACAAAGAAAACAGACATACATACATATAATAAAGCCGGTACAACACAAATAAGCCGGTACAATGGCCATTGTGTTCAACGAAATCAAAGCTGTATTTGTGAACAAATTTTTCTGTTTAAAACCAGTTCAGGTTAGCCGAATGGTAAGTAATACCATAAATTTGGGATACCAACCAAATAATTAAGAGTGTACATATCTATATATGTAGGTGCATTAGGGTGCATCACTCACCATAGAAAAACAATTGGGTTCTGTTTTTCCATCGAAACTATAAAGTGTATTATACTTTAAGACTTCAGTTAAAATATTTCAAAAAAATATTAAGATTTACTCGAGCTGGGCCGATGTTTTGTTATACAAAAAATTAGTTTTTAAAAATATTTTTTTTCGCAAAAAATCACATCATACGATAGAGGAGTTTAAGCTTAAAAAGTCTGCAATCTAATTAAGCTCACAAAAATCTTAATATTTTTCGAAATATTTTGGCGCAAGTCTTAAAATAAGATAAAATTGTATAATTCCGGTGGAAACCCCGATTTTTTGGTGATGCATCCTAATGTAAATATCCATATGTATGATATGTACATATTTCTCATTTATTAAAAGACTGTCACAACTCACAAAGCGAGTTATTTCAGGAGACGGGTTTAAAGTTTTCAATAAGCTCCCAAATGTAATAATAAAAGCCTAGGCGTGTGACTGCCAATTTGCCGTAAATCGTGTATTTTTTTAACAACGTGGCCATTGTTTGCAGGGCTGCCAACTATCCCTACCTATGAAGTGCCAAATTGAGGATAAAAAAGTGCCAAAATGTGCCAAACAGAAAAATAAAAGTGGCAAAAAAGGTGCCATTTTATTAATTTAGCATTAAAATTAGAACCATATTCCTAAAACAAAAGTCCAATGCCAAAATAAGATAAACACTTGTATACTCTTTAAAAATTGGAAAATTTTAATTGAGAAAAAGAAGTACAGCAAGGGATTTTACAAAAATGTATTGAAATATTACAATTTTTCAAAAGTGTTATTTTGGCAATCTCTGCTAAATTGAAAAATTAAGCGCTTTTGGAAGTAAAATAGGGCCAAAAATGGCACGGTTTGAGCCAACCTGGCAGCCCTGCTTGTGCAACAAATATTTGCATCGGGAAAGTGTTGAATGCGGAATAACGAGGCCGCATTCATTTGAAAAAACCTTGATACTTCACTTTTCTATTTGACAGCTGTTTATCGCCAATATGGCCCTTCATAGCTAAACAAAGTTTTTCAATTCTTAGCGAATAATGCACCTGCAAGTGTGCTACATTAGATGTATTCCCAAACCAGAAGTAAGGTATTCTCAAACGACGCAAAAAAGTAAAGAGTTAGACGCCCCAAAAGAAACAAAGAAATTAATCATCTCAAAAGAATACTGTATGTTTGAGAAAAATTGGAAAGTCATATTTGACACCAAGGCTGAGACATTTTTCTCAATTGAAGAATTTTCGTCAATGTCAAAAGGTTGAACGAACAAAGAGGTTGCAGAGGATGGGCGAATCTTGCTTTAACTCTTTAGACCGTACCGCCTAGGGTATGTTTGCATGGAAATTTTACATTTTTGTCGCCGCCTGCATTCGAATAATCAAAATATTTCCCTAGCAAAAGTTTAATGATTTTTGGAGAGACGGTTTTTGGTGCAACAAAATGCTAAGAAAATTTTGATAATTCACATAACATATCAGTTATCCGCGAATATCTTTTCGCTTAGCATTTCAACGCATATCAATAATGACTTTGAGTGATTTTTTACTTATCAATACCAAATTGGTAAAACACATAAGTTTGCGCAACTTCGATAATTTGCTAAACTACAATAGGGCCCTGGTGGGTAAATACTAATACGAGATATTTGAGATCAGTAAACTTTGGAACAAAAAAAAGGCTCCGCGCGACAAAAACATCAGGTGCATTCTTTTTCAACCGAGCTACAAAAGAACACTCGCTTAAATGACGAAATACATGCAAAGCAACAACACAAACTCGGCTATTTATGCGAGTTCAACCAGGTCGGTCGAAAAAAACGCGACCTGAAGGGTAGTGTTGTTAAGTTGTAAATTTGAATCGTTATTGGGAAAGTGGAGTGGGAAATTTTTTTCCTTATACAGTGTAATCCATTCATAATGGACTCGCTTAACATGGAAACTCTGTTATTATGTACCTATTTGTCAAGCCCCCGTTCAAACATATGCAAAAAAAAACTCGGTCAAACCAGACTCGATTATAAATGGACTCCGCTTACAATGAACAAAAACTTCGGTATTTGTCAATTATAACCGGAGCTATCATGGCCAAATATAAAAAAATATCGGCAATGAACAAAATTCGGTAATTCCCCGAATCCAGTAAAGAGACGCAACCGTCTCTGCAACAGAAAATGTATATAATACATAAACAAAGTTCATGGGTTCACCAAAATCTGCTTCTGCGGTAGACTGTAACTGACGGTTCGTTGGGTTTTGATCTGCGTTTTCTTCACTTTAAGGAAAATGTTTGGAAAAAAATAAATAATGTTTGAAAAAATAAAAATAAATTATTTCTTTAATAAATAAAAAACACTTAATTTACTTTTTGAGTATACAAAATTTATATTCTGATATAAGAAAATTTTACCCGAGTTGAGCGTTCTTTGTCGCTCGCTTACAAAAAAACGCACCTATCGATATATATGTAATACTTGAAGATCCGACTGTAAATGCCGAAGATATAACGAAAAATGTAAAAAGGCGACCCATACAGCAAACCTTTTTTCGGTATGGTCTAGGGCACATACGTATGTATGTATGTACATTAGGGCGGAGTTAATTGTTCGGAGCAAAATTTTCGAAGAAAGTGTAAAGCAAATTCAAATTCTACGATTCATTAATTCTGCGATAAAATGGCGAGGCAACTATATAAAAAATTTTGAAAAGAAAAAGCAGTATATTTTATGAAGAAAAATTAAAATTTTGTCCTTGTAAATGAAAAATTAATTTCGTCCAGAAAAAATTATAACACACTGATTTTTTTTGGGAGGGCCACACGTCATTTTTGGTATACAGTTTGTTTACCATTTTCGATTAGAATCGAAAGTAGAATTCGAATATATCAGAAAATTTTTCGAAACTAAATTACTCCGCCCTAATGTACAAACACAAATTATCTACAATTTTTATCATGATTTATTATGTACATATTTATCATGATTAACGCCAACTGTAAAAAATGTGTTTTTGTTGACAAATGAATTGCATACCGTTTTGCACATTCCTATGCACCCCTTAACTACATACACATGTACCTACATACATATAAATTTAGCCTTTATTATTGTAGGTGACGGCATAAGTCGTAATATGAAACTCAACCCAAATGGTTTTATATTTTTTTTCTGAAAATTTTTGTATAGTAGGCAAATATTTCACTGCTGAATTATGATTACACGCATTGTAAGACCAGAAGGAAAACAAAAAACTACAAAACAAACTGCACCGCTTGCAAAAAATGCACATAATTGCTACATTAACAACTGATAATAGGCGATTCATGAAATGTCGCAAAGTGGCATTTTTGGCGAAATGCCAACGACCTATCGCAACTCCGGATTTCGCGCTGATTTCCAGCTCATATAACTAATATGGCAGTGTCGCACTTTTGTCGCAAGAACTTTTCATACAAAAGTAATTAGCTGTGCCAAAGGTGGCAAATGTGACATTTGTAATATTTTAC